AAGTGTTTAGCATTAAAATAAAAGGTCAATGCTTTTCGTTAGATTTAGGGAAGGAGCAGGTTGCTTTTAGGTGTCAACTATTAATTCAATCTTTGGCACAAAAGGTTAGGTCATTTTCATCATAATGCACTTATGCAAAAGAATAATTTGGCAAATGGTCTACCTCCTTTAGAAAGTAACCTTTAGGTTGTAAAGCTGTCAATTTGGCAACAAAACCGATTAACATTTTCCAAGCATTCTGGAGAGCCTCAAAGAAGTTGCAACTTGTTCATTCAGATGTTGGAGGGTCACTTAGTACTCTATCTCATAATGGGAGTAAGTACTACATTTTGTTTATTGATGATATGTCAAGAATGTATTGAATTTATTTCTTGAAATTTAAATTTGATGTGGTTGATGTGTTTTGGAGATTTAGGTGTTGTTGAAAATCAAAGTGGTGTAGGATTCATATTTTGAGGTCAAATAATGGAAAGAGTATACCTTAAAGCAGTTTAACAATTCTATGAGGGAGTAGGGATTGAACACCAAATAATCACCTATGTACACTCCATAACAAAATGGAGCGAGTGAGAGGAAAATAGATCGGTGATGGAGATGACTGTAAGTAATCGATGAGCAAAGGCAGCAAAAAAAAAAAAAAAAAAAACAAAAAATTGTCCATCGATTACTCTGATTTGGCTAAGATCAAGGTTGATATATATTATATATATATATATATATTGCTTAAATTGAAATAACACAGGTCCAGCAATGATTAGATTATACCAACGTTTAGAGGCTCCGTCAATATCTCTGAACGCGATTTCGTTACCAATCTAAGACTATGATCGAACTCACGTGTCCACACGAAGACAGTATGACAGAGACCAAAGATTGATTTTGCTAGAATCAATCTTTAGCTTTAAGGAGAGTATTAGGAAGGAAGAGTGAAGAGAGAAAGAGAGAAACTTTTTCTCTCAAAATGTCACTCACGGCCAAATGATGGAATTATATCAAAACTACTTTTTGTTTTCTTTATATAGAAAAGCAAAATATCCATTCCACCCCAAAGTTTAGCTACAACCCAAACTTTGGTGGAATACATATAGGTTCCTATTTAATTATTTAGTTTTAAATATTAAAAAATATTCATATAACTTCAATAATAAATTTGTATTTTTTAAATTACTCCATAATAAAATTGGACATAGGCAACAACCTAATAAATTTAATTACACAGCAAAATTACCACTATGCCTTTTTGTCAAAAAGACGAATATACCCTTCCATGTTTAACATCCTTAAACTGTCTCCTAAGTTGTGACCTGTAGGCTCCTCCATACCGAGTGAGTAATATCATGATTGACACGAATCAATCGTTCTCTACACATAGACCAAGATTGGCCCCTAGCAAGGCATCATGGGCACGATAGATTCGGATTCAGCGAAACAACTACCTATCAATAATATGGTTACGTGCAATCAAATTATTATCCTCTATTATTTATCGAGGCTAAGGTACATAAATAGTGTCAACCTCATTATTTCCTGATGTTTGTATCAGTTACTAGACCAATAACCCGAATAATAAATTAGATTGGGCAACAACTGAATCCCATATGGCACAACTTTAGTATCATTGTCATATATTGAATTGCATAGTAAGATAACTTCTCCTGTACCCAGGAGTGATGATCATGTCAATCCACTATAGTCTTGATACACTCTTAATGCAGCCAATCACTACGTATTGATAGCTCTAAATAGAACTACATTGGTAGTGTAAACTACACTAAACGGTGCACAAGTGGCTACGGTGATCTCAAGTCTAGGATCACATGCACTATCATTCGTTAGAGGATTTGTTCCATAGATACTAGGGTTAGCATTATTAGAATCCTCTAGTGGGTCAGTCCAGTAAAACTTGCCATAGCAAGCAACCATGTGTTGCACCAGGTTATCAAAAATGACATGACAAGTGAAGTGAGATAGTCATGCTTTGACAGGGTCATTCAACACTATGATAGTCTTACCGTATATCTGTGTCCTTGGTCAGAATCATACTAGGGCTACGGGCTTTTTAGAATGGCCATCACATGTGATCATAAGGTTCTCACTATCAGATTTGAAACACTTGATACCCGTCACGATTCTACCATTCTAAAGATAAATCAGTACATATCAATATGATTTACAATATAGAATAAAATGCCTTATTGATTAATGAACATATTACAAAGAGTCAATTCTAAATAATTAATTGGCTTTAGGACCTACTCTAACAATGACCTGGTTATGTTGCATGAAAAGGGATTGCCTAAAAGTTTTTGGACAAAGGCAATAAACACAGCAGTGTTTTGTTAAACAGGCTACCAACAAAGGCTTTAGAACATAAACTCCTTTTTGAAGCCTGGTTTGGGTTTATCTAACCTGAAAATTTTTGGTTGTTTAGTTTTTATCATGTTCCATAGGTCAAGAGAGAAGCTTGATAGAAGGGCTGAAAGTGGTATTTTTGTTGGCTACAACAATTCTACAAAAGCTTACAAAATTTTCCAACCACAAAATGGGAAAATTCTGTAAGTAGAGATGTGACTTTCGTGGAAAATAAAACATGGAATTGGGATCAAACAAAGGACAACATTGTGAAGTGATACAAATTCAGATGACAATGTTGATGAACAACCAGGAGAGGAATAAGACTTCTTTCATAAATCTATCAACAATCTAATGTGGCTATCGTGGAACTTGATGTTCAAGGATGCTACAAAGAATCAGAGATGGATGGTGCAACGTAGGAGGAGATTTAGAATGATTGAAAAGAATTAGACGTGGGCGTTGGTAAAAAGGCCTGTAACAAAAAAATAATGTGTGTGATAATGGGTTTTTAAAACCATTAGGACTATGTCCTGATGGTTCTATAAACAAGTTGAAGGCACGGCTTGTAGTGAAAGGGATTACTCAGGGAATAAGACTTCTTTCATAAATCTATCAACAATCTAATGTGGCTATCGTGGAACTTGATCGTTCAAGGATGCTACAAAGAATCAGAGATGGATGGTAGACAAGTAGGAGGAGATTTAGAATGATTGAAAAGAATTAGACGGGCGTTGGTAAAAAGGCCTGTAACAAAAAATAATTGGTATGAAATGGGTTTTTAAAACCATTAGGACTGTGTCCTCATGGTTCTAAACAAGTTGAAGGCACGGCTGTAGTGAAAGGGATTGCTCAGATTTTCGGGGTTGGTTCTTTGAACATTGCTAGTTGCAAGGTTGGAAACAATAAGTTGCTATTGGCTATGGCAAACACAAAGAGTTGGAAGATATACCAACTAGATGTAAGTCCGCTTTTTTAATGATTTCTGGAGGAGGACATTTATGTTGAGCAACTAGAATGATTTATCGTCAAAGGGCATGAAGACAAAGTGTATTTGCTTAAGAAAGCTTTGGGTGACCTTAAGCAAGCACCAAAGGCCTAGTACAATCGAATTAATGATCATTTGTTGAAGTTAGGCTTTGTAAGAGCCTAAGTGAGGCCATTGCATGTAAAAAAGGTAGGAACAAAGTTGATTGTGGTATCAGTGTATGTAGATGATCTTCTTGGATTGGCAGTTGTGAGGATTTGGTTGATGACTTTAAATCTCAATGTTCAAGGAGTTTGAGAGAGGATCTTCGGTTGATGACTTATTTCTTTGGTATGGAGGTGAAACAAGGAAAAAGTGAAGTATTTATATGTCAAACCAAGTATGCTAAAAAAATTCTTAAGAAGTTCCATATGGAGAAGTGCAAAGAGGTGACGACTCCAATGAATCAAAAAGAGAAGTTTAACAAAGATGATAGGAGTGGCAAGATTGATGAAGGTTTGTATCGGAGTTTAATAGGTTGTTTAATGTATCTCATAGCTACAAGACCATATATTATATATGTTGTGAGTGTTCTCTCAAGGTATTTGCATTGTGCAAGTGAATAACATTTTCAAGCGGCTAAAAGAGTGGTGAGATATGTGAAGGGAACTATTGATTATGGAGCTATGTTTTCAAGGTTCTTAGATTTCATATTGTTTGGTTACTCTGATAGTGCCTGGGCAGGTAGTGTTGATGACATGAGAAGCATTACATGTTACTAGACCTGGCAAACGGGTCTAGAACCGCGGGTCGGCCCGTACTCGGGTAAAAAATATAGGGTACAGGTCTAATAAATTGAACCTTTTTTTTTGGACCCGTACCCGGCCCGACCTGTATAACGGACGGGTTAAAAGGGTGAACCCGCGGGTACCCGTTTTTGTAAAATGTAAAAACTAAAAAGTGACATGCCCTAACCTAACTCAACAAATCAACTCTATCCCATGCCACGCCTCTCACTCTCTCGCGTCTCAATCTTCAACATAAGCCTCTCAATCTCTGATCAGTCAAGTACCTCCCTCTTTGCCATCATCTTCGTACCTCAACTCCCTCTTCGATTAATCGTCACTCGTCAGTCATCACTCATCACTTTGTATGTTCTTTGTTCTTTATTTATTTTTTCATTTTTAACGATTTAAGGTGATTTGAGAAGTTTACATGCCATTTCTGTGAATTTCGACATTTTATTTGATTTAGGTTTTGTTATATTCCATTTGGTTAATGGATCAAATTTAGAATTTACTGTTTGGTTTCCGTGTTGATCTGATGATCGCTCGTTTAAACCGCTTAGATTTGTTGTATTTTTCTTCTTCTTATAGCTTGGCGATTTGAATTTCTCGGATTAAGAGTTGATCTCACTGTATACTATTTTACGCTTTTCATTTTGCCGCTAGCTCTATCTGATTTTGTTTCATGTTCTTAGGAAGTCTTTGTCTCAGTTGTTGTTATTTCTTTAATCAGAAATAGATTATTTTTAAAAGCTGCCACGTATCTGTGAGAGTTTCTTGTGTGTCATTGACTAGAAACACGAATTATTTGTGTTGTACGGTTTTGATTTATGTTTTTTGGAATATAAGTTCAATTGGTTGATTTGGGATGTCGGTATGGTGATTATTAGGTCTACAGCAAGGAAAAATGGGGTTGACATTCACAAAGCTGCTCAGCCGGCTTTTTGCCAAGAAAGAGATGCGTATTCTTATGGTTGGTCTCGATGCAGCTGGTAAGACCACCATTTTGTACAAGCTCAAGCTCGGAGAGATTGTGACCACAATTCCTACTATTGCCTATTGGTAAGTTTTTTTGGCGTATTATTAATGTTATTGTCAGATTGTGTTTCTAGAATTGCTACAAATGATTTAGGGCCATTAAATTAGGAGCAGATGACTTTGTTTTGAAGTGTGATTTTCTACACTAAAGAAAAATTGTGCATTAAAGATGATGATTTTGAGTTCCTAGCAGCAAAAATTTAGGCAACCTAGTATGCTGAATGAGATCAACAATGCTTAGATACAGATAGTTTTTAGTGCATGAACACTCACTATTCAATTTTTTATTTGTTTCTTTCTATTGGCTGTTTAAAGTTGTTTCTCTTAGCTTTGTGCATAGAGTGTGCAAGGGGAATCATGCTAATATAACTCATCTGCAGGATTTAATGTGGAGACTGTGGAATATAAGAACATTAGCTTCACTGTGTGGAATGTCGGGGGTCAGGATAAGGTATGAAGAACTAAATATTCTTGGCATTGAACGTGTGTCAATTGAATATCCATGCAACTGTCTTATCAATAAGGCTTAAGTTTGCTAATTGGACTATTGACTCTCTAAAGTCCATCATAAAGAGTTTGTTAGTGGTGTTTTTATTCATGTAATGGTTGACAATGATGTTTGCTTTTGCCACAGATTCGTCCCTTGTGGAGGCACTATTTCCAGAATACTCAGGGTCTCATTTTTGTGGTGGATAGCAATGACAGAGACTATATGGATATGAGTTTGAAGGTAACATGTTAACATAATATTTCATATATTTTATTATTTACATTTATTAATATTTGTAGTTGATCATTGTTTTATAGATGATGAGGTGAATGATGATTCAGATGATGATCTTAATGTGCCATTAACTAATCTCGGGACTATAGAATCAAGAGACTCTATCACCCCCATTGTGGGATGAACATTTGCTGTCCTAACAATGTTTTTTGTTGAATATTGGATTATGTATTTGTTTATTTTAGTTGGTATTTATAGTTTATTGGCTTATTTTGTTTTTTTATGTGTAATTGTGTATTAGTGATTTTGTATTTGTTTATTTTAGTTGGTATTTGTAGTTTTGTATTATATGTTATTGTTTGTTTATGTGTTATTTGTTTATTTTGGTTCCTATTTGTTTATATTCTAAATTGAATTGAATTTAGAGTAGTTGATTTAGGGGGTGTAAATGTAAAAAATTAAAACTGTAGGAATTTTAGGGGTGTAACTATCATAATTGAAAACTGTTAGGGGTGAAACTATAAAAACTAAAATCTAGAGAGAGAAAAAACGGGTCCACCCGTACCCGTATAGGGTAGGGTCCGGGCCTAATATTTTGGACCCATATTGGACCCCTGAAGACCGGACCCATACCCGGCCCACCCACACGTTTTGCCAGGTCTACATGTTACTGTTTCAGTTTTGGATATGGTGTATTTTCATGGTGCTCAAGGAAGCAAGAAACAATGAGTCAAAGCACTATAGAGGCTGAGTTTGTAGCAGCAACTTCAGCCGCAAATCAAGCACCTTGGTTTAGGAAGCTGCTCTCTAATTTATACCACTGTTTTAAAAACCGGACCGGACCGGCCGATCTAACCGGTTAGACCGGAGACCGGTCACATGTCCGGTTTGAGTCAACCCCAAAACCGTTATAATACACTGAGCCGCTTTAAACCGTTTGAAAACCGAATAATTTCAGTGAACCGCCGGTCCAACCGGACCTGCGGATAAACCGGTCCAAATCTTAAAATCCCCTAATACGCAACGCAGCCGTTTCTCATCTTCTTCTCTTTCAGTCTTTCTCAGCCCACCCAAATCGCATATGAATTCGCTGGTAAACGTTATTGATCTGGGGTCCATGGAGAAATGCCTGACCACTGATTCCGGCATTCGATAGCGTGCCTCCGACGGTGAGATATAGGTAATCTGTCCAAGACTTTGGTGAGAGCCCATGTTTAAGAGTCTCCTGCAGAATATTAATCCACAACTCACCACCGGAAACATCCACATACGGCAGTTCAAGAGGGTGAACTTCCATAAGTGGTTCTTGGAGTGATTCTATGTTGATAACTACACCTCCTTGAGTTTGTGACTAGCCTTGAAGGGAGTGGCCATGGCCTCTAGCAGCCACTGTGAGATCAGAAGCATAACCCATATGATAGATATGCTTTATTGTTGAGGAAATATCAGAAACTAATTTAGGATATAGAATTGCTGATGGTTGGAAATGGTGAGTATTGCCAAAGTCTTGAGCTGCACGATGCATATTTTGAAAGCTAAGGTAGCCGTCCAGAGGCAATTGTTTTAATGAGAAAGGGATGTTGGAGGAAGAAGAATGAGTTTGAATTGTGGTGGTAGCTAAAGAGAGATTAAAAGAAAGGTTCGTTGTGTTAGGAATAGAGCTCAAGAAGAAGATCATAAAAATCATGAGAGATTCAGTGTTGTATTGTTTGAGAAAGCCAGAAAGTGGTGACCCCATTTTCTCTGGCTCGTGGTGAGAGAGAGAGAGAGAGAGAGAACTTTCTTTGTGTTTTTCTTGGTTGGGAAAAGTAAAAGAAGAGGTATAAAGGAACCTTGGAAATGAAAGGCAGAGAAGAGAATTTAAAGTCAAACTGCCACATGTTCACTGGTTAAATCCGTATATTAGAGTGTGTAATATTATAATCTGTTGGGTTTAAGATTTTCTTTTGGCCCACCTTTTTGGTTTCCAACGTTAAGCAGATAAAGATCAGAAGAAAGTTATTCGGAAGATTTTACGTATCTTTGATACTTTCTCCCACACTATTTTGATTTAAGTCCGGTTTCAGTACTGAGTCTGAACTCTGAACGCTCTACCAAGCTCTATAATTTTTAACTTTTGGGAAGTGTGAAACAATGGTTTGGTGCTCTATTCAAACATAAACTTAAATACAGAGAAATATTTTTATAAAAAAATTGTATCTGTAAAAATATTATAAATCCTTTAATTATCAGCATCTAAGCATTTATATTGAAGTCAGAAGGGCTGAAGCTGAAATCAAATTTCCCAAGAATTGTTGTGTTGTCAGATAGTGTGGAATAAGAAGAATGGATTTTGAATTTGAATTATGTTAGCCAATAGTTGTTATTATCTTATTAAAAAATAAAAAAAAATTATTTTAAAAATATTTTGACATCATCATGATGTGTGATGATGTCACCGGTCCAACCGACGGTCTAACCGGTTGGACCGGTTGAACCGTGACCCGACTATTAGAACGGTTTACCCTTCGGTCCGGTTTTTAAAACAATGATTTATACATGGAACAAAAGGAAAGTACAAAGATTTGGTAGATAATAAAGTTGTTATTTCAATCTCTAGCAATCCAGTTTTTCATGAGAAGACCAAGCATTTTGTTATGCCTAAAAAGTTACGCTTATGTCAGCCTAATAAATATTTTTTTCTACTAGCTGCCAAGCCCATATCTTCTCAAAGATATTCTTACCAATCATATCTCATTTCAAGAGATGAATGGAAGAGAGCCTTCTATGTGTCAAGGCAACTTGCAAAATACTCATTACATTGAGTGTTTAGGTGTATAAATTGTCACTTCTCTTCTCGAAGAGGGGGGCTGGGCATATGAGAGTTAACCAGCTCAATTCTTTCTCTCTGTAAACATTGTATTGCCTTCTGGGCAATATCATAGAAATAGTCAGAGATCAATAAAATAACAATGGATGTAGGAGTCGCTTGTTGAGCATCCGAACCACTATAAAAATCTCTCTTGTCAGCCTATTATTTATGTTTTCTACAACATATATAATCTCAGCTCCATATTCAAATCTCATGGATCCATCACGTGTGATTCGTAAGTCCGCTTAGCGCTTCTCACGTGCGAGTCATTGGCGTCCAAAATCAAGTGTCAACACATTTCAAGATCAAGTTATACTTCCTTCGAGAAATTCAAAAGGAAGAAGATGTGTATTTGGAGTATTGCACAACAAAGAATCAAGTACCAGATGTGTTCACAAAGGCTTTATCAAAAGCAAGACTTGAAGTTTTAAGAGAAGGATTGGATGTTTGTAGCATTAAGGCAAGAAGGAGTGTTGTTGAGATGTCTAATGCTGCTCCAAAAATGTGAAGGAAAAGACCGACCACTGCAGCGATAAAAATGGTTGTTGCAACGATGGGAGTTTGTTGCGGCAATAAAAATGGTAGCTGTAGCGTGCGTCATGGGCTGTGTGATGTGCGAACTGCTTTTAGATTTGTTTCAGACAAGCGGCTCTCTTTCGATTGACTTACAACTGCTAAGCTAAAATAAATCGATATTTAGTTTTGTGGTTTTATCTTAATAAGTTATTTAAGTTACCTTAATCAGTTATCTTTTTTAGTTTTATTCAGTTATGAAAGTTGGTTAGAGTTATCCCTTTACATGTTTATAAAAAGGGAGAATTAGAATTGTATCAAGTGTTCAAGTGTGTGTATTCTGTATCAGTGGTATTTTGAATACAAACTATAATACCCCGTATTTTATGGGATTTTATTAAAGTTTATTTTGTTAATTTTTGGGGGGTAAAATGTAAGTTTTTTAAATTTTTATTGGTGGTGAAAACGAAAGAAATGAGAGCTGATGGGTTTGCACATAACAAAGGGAAGAAAATGGGGCTTTTTTGTAATAAAAGCTGATGTGGCGAAAGAGAATTTCGAGGCAGCTTCATAATTTCAGAAAATTACTTTATATAAAATAAGGCTGTTCACCCAAATGCAGAAGAAGGGAGAAGAACCGTGAAAGAAGAAAGGAGAGGAGGAAGAAAGAAGAAGAAGAAGGAAACGAGGAAAAAAAGGGGAAAGAGGAGGAAGATGTCGGCTGAGAGCTTTTATGATGGGAATGCAAAATATCATATTTTACCCCCTTAATGTTTAGTCTTTTATACGTATTTATTTCCTAATTGTACTCATTATTACTTTATTTTGGTTTAGGAAGCAAATGGAGGTGTTAATTGAAAAACGGAATTAATTAGGGGAATTCGGACAGTTTTGCCACTGCTTCGTATTCTGGGCATAATTCTCTCATCCGAGCTCCGATTGAGATTATTCAAAATGCTGTGGAACGCTAAGAAAGAGATCTACAACTTTCATGTTTTGAGTTTTTAGAGATACTGGCTGAATAAAGGTTGTAATCGAGCTTGAAGTTGATGCACCTGCATTGCCGACGTCCTGGAGCGTTCTGACTTGTTATGCAAGTCAGTCTATTATTGCACGTTTTGAAGACATACTTGCTGCACGAAAATTACAGCTGGAAACACCACCTTCCTATTTTATTAGGACTCTATTTTATTTTATTTCCAATTAATCAGATTAGGATAAATGTTATTTTAGGATAGGAGAATATTTCTTTTAGGAGATTGAGTGGGATTCAAATACTTGAACTGAATTTTTGTTAAAGAGATCATATTAGGGTTTTTGAGGGGGACCACGCCTCTCTTTTCTCTTCTCTGCAATTTTCTCTTTTGAGTTTTGATTATGGCCATGAGCGGCTAAAACTTTTGTAACTTGGTCGTCGGAAACGGAGACCTCGGAATCAACCAACTGTGAGATCTAATCTATTTTATTTTAGTGTTCAATTTTCGTGTTTGAGTATTGAATGTTATTCTGTGCATATCTTCATGATTGATGCATTTAATTACTAGGAGGCCTACTAGTGTATTATTTGTTGCAATCTACTGCTAAGTTTGATATCAAATCCGTAATTGTTTGATCCCTCTAACTTGTGAAGCAATTAGGGTTAATAATTTGCTGCGTCAGGAATTAATAATCTTAAGAAGAACATTCAACTAAATTAAATACAACCGCTTGTGTTTGTGTTGTTTAGCTTCATCGATTTCTCTAATTCTTAAGGCTGCCAGTAGATTAAATCTTGAGCGCTTGTCTAAGGTTGTTTAGTGGTAAGATTAATTAAGATCGCTTGTTTCCTAATTAATTACAATTAAGGAGAGATAGGAAAATAGTTCCAACGATGAATATTCAAAGCAAGAATTGATTTATTTTTGCATCAATGATCAGTTGTAAGATTCCGATGGTGGATGTTGACAGAGACCAAGTTTCGTTGTATTAATTGATTTCGATTCGAATTGTTTTTGCTAGGATTGTTTTCTGTTTTACTCAAAACCCCCTAGCCTTATTCACATCATCGAAAATTCGGCTAGACATTCTTCGTGGGATCGACCCTTGCTTACCCTATTTACAGTTCAGTAGTTAGGTTAGGAAGGTTTTTAATCTTGGTTGCCTACGACAGCACACCAGAGCTTTTACAGGAGAAATAGTTCCATTTCTCACCATGTGTAAGACATGCATGTGGATTTATGTTTAACTCACTTTGTCATTTCTTCAATTTTTGGATTTCTAAGTCTAATTTGTCTATGTTGGCTCAATGGGAAGAGAAAAGGAAGATCCTTAGGAAAATTTAGCAAAATGGGAGGTGAGTGGAATAGTATTGCATAAATTGCATGTTTTTCCAAGACTTTATATTCTATTTGGACGAATTCGGATGTTGATGCATACCTTCTTTTAATAATATGATGTGTTTGGTTTATGAGGATTTTGAGTTATGTATAGACATGCAAGGGTTCTTGGCGTTAAGGTATGTTGGGAGTATTTTCTTTACCTTTTTCCTTGGTTGATATGTGAATTACAAGTTACGGGTTTAATTGGAGTTTGGGTTGTATATTCGGCTTACTTATGGCAGTGCACCATCATAGAAATTTTTGAAAATCGAGTGGCGTGGTTTGTGTTATTAATATGTTTAAATGATTGCTTTTTTATGCATGTGGTGTTGATGAACAAAGATATTATGGGTATTGTGTAATGAGTTTGATTGATGTTATGGATTGGTTAACTTGATTGGTCTATTGGGCTGGTTTATTTGTTTATAATTGGGAGTGTTCCTTTTTGTTTGAACTAAATGGTGTAGGTTGAATTGGAAGGTTGTGCGCTTGGTTAATAAGTGGACTTGATTAGAAGCTTAAAAATGGTTACATCTAGCTAAATGCTGAATGAAATTTGAATGTTTTGTTAAGCCTTGTGAGGTGTTGTCCGCTAAAAAATTTGGGTAATAATGGGCATGAGTTTGATGGCGGGTTATTGTGTAAAAAGTGAGTGGACTACTTTTTATTTTTCAAAAAAAAAAAATAATCAAATTCATGTTTGAATGGGATTACTTTGGTTATGTTTGTTACCTTATTGTTTTATACGATGCATGCAATGATGGCTTGGATTCCATGTGTTTATGAATTTTATGTCGACCGAAATTATACATGTAAGGTTGGCTGGTTTTATTTGCGTTTATGGGTTGCATTTTTTGTTGATTAAAACATGAATTGGAGGCTGGAATTACATGGTTCTGGACTGCATTTTTGGCCAAATTATGCAGGTAAATGTGGTTGGGATTTTATATATATATAAACTTTTTTGCTCCACTTGAAATTAAATTGGAAACTGATAAACCGGCAGTGCATAAAGTCTACACCCTTAAGGGGCGCAAAAGGCATTAGGAATGTTGTTAAGGGAGTTGGGTCCACAAATTACAGGTGTCATGGGTTGGATTCTGTTTTGAGAATACAAATTGTGTGAGTAAGGGTAATTGTGGAAAAGGGAATTAGTATATATTCAGGGAGAGATGTAGTAGCAGGGCAGTTTTGATTTTGGGTTGATAAAACAGTGGAGGCTCCTGGCTCCTCGAAACGCCAGGGTTTTATGTTCAGTTTATTCCATTTTTCATCTGTTCCATTTTCATCCAGTTAATCTATTTAATACAAATATTGCAGGAATTGCATTTTATGTCTTGGGCATTATCTTTGGTTGTGGTTTGACTGCGCTTGGTTTATTTGTGTGAGAATTATTGTTGGTTGGCTGTGGATTGATTTTATCTGCAGGTGGTCGTATCAAATTGGTATCAGAGCCAAGTTAGGGAATGGTAAAATCCAAAATGGAGACTAGGATGGATAGTGTGGAGAAGGAGATGAACACAGTAAAGGAAAACATAGGATCCTTGAAGATTGACATGGGTAGTGTGAAGGAATATTTGACAGAAATGAAAGAGTTAATGCGCATGAGAGAAGAGAGGGAAGGAAGAAGAGAACAAGAAAGAGAGAAGTCTTCTTCATCGGCAGAGAACCAGAACATTAGTAGAGATAAGGAATCAGAACGGGAAGACAGTGGGAAAGACGATAAAAAGAACACCCGAAAGCTGGAGTTACCCATCTTTAATGGCGAGGATCCATTTGGATGGTCCTTCAGAGCAGATCGCTACTTCACCATCAATCGTTATCATGAGACATAAATGGTAGAAGCAGCAACAGTTTGCATAGAGGGAAGAGCTTTGAGCTGGTATAAATGGGTCGAATCCAGAGCACCTTTTCAATCATGGGAAACCTTCAAAACAGCCTTGATCGATTGTTTCCGGCCATCATTTAAAGGGTCTGCATATGAGGCTTTAGTGTCCTTGAAACAAGACGGGACAGTCACTGAATATAGGGAACAGTTTGAATCCAATGCTGCACCATTGAAGGACCTGGGTGAAGATTTGCTGAAGGGAATATTTGCGAATAGCTTAAAAGAAGAGATAAAAGCTGAGCTGCGTTTGTCTCAGCCAAATACGTTGTTTGGGCTGATGGATCAAGCCACAGGATTGAGGAGAGGAACTGGGTACTTGATAAACAAAGGCCTAGCCTTTTAAAAATCTAACGGGTCGAAGGGAGCCATATTCACGGGTTAGCCCAAACCCGAAACCCATGCGCACTAACTGGTAGAATTTCAGCGCAAAACCACCAGATCCATTTTCTTCTTCGTTAAACTCCAGCAAAGCACCCGAGCGAAGAGAGAAGGCGACTGAGTCTGTGGGATCCGTGAACCAAAACGACAACTTCCGATGGCTCTCCGATGCTGAAATACAATACAAGCGAGAACGTGGGCTCTGTTACTGCTGCGACGAGAAATTTGGGCCAAACCACCAGTGTAAAAATAGATCTCTACAAGTTTTGTTACTCCTGGATGACGAAGACACAAACCCACTAGAAGTTGAGACAGAAACTGACGAAGAAGCCATCGGTGAAGGTAAATCTCTAGCCCTTTCGATGAACTCCA